TTTCACTTTATTGCTTAATAATATGCTTACGCTTGATATAATTAGACCAACTGTCTAATATTTGCTTGGTATAGTTGCATATATTTATGAAGGCCCGTTTATGCTTGCGCCGATTCGACTAACGCGGTAATCACCACTTTGTTATCGCACAACTAAAATCGTACGTGTAAACAGAGCTGCGATTGTTACGACGATGGAAAATCGCAGCGAAGTTGCAGCCAATTTTCAAATGTTCGAAACTCAGGCGATGGTCACGCCAGTGTAAACGGGCGTGGAGTCTTCACTATCGGCTGGTTTATACTTGTATGCGCACATAGACTCAACCACAACCTTTTTGCAAYTGACTGTGTATTGATATACAGTTTAAAGGTTTAAACAATAGTAGACTAGACTTGACAATGACCTATCTTGTATATACTTCTCATAAATTTATTTCTAAAGGCTAACGGCGTAGACCTTTCATCATTTCTCAAGTCAGTGAATCTCTTCTAATTCGAGATTATCTTGTTTTGCTGCTGCTTCATTTTTGAGACTAGAATCATCGGACACGACGTTTCGTTTCCAGGCCACTTTCTATGAAAAATAATAAAAGATACATTCGTAAAAATTATGTTTTGCATCAATAATATCTTGGCTTTGTACTTATTTATTTATTGGTTTGTTTGTTTGTTTTTCTTTAAACACTAATTAGGTTTGTTTGGATGCTCTTTTAAAATCCATAATTTATCTCATGAAGGATGGGAACTAGCGGTAAACTAGTGTGAACTGCGTCGGTGTTTCTAAAGAAACAGTTGTGCAAAAAAATAGCACGCGTAAAAAAAAGGTGAAAAAACAATCATCAATAACAAGCCAAATCACTGATGTACCACAACATCTTAATAAAAAAAAGTTAAGAAGCTTTTACGTCACCTACTTGATTTGCAATGGATTGTTGGATTAATTTCTGGAATGCAAAAGAAATTGTCGATTTGTCCCAAACATCCTACAATGCATTGCATATACGGTATGACGTAAAATCTTCTGAGGTATATTTGCTTATATATTTCGTAAAAGAATGCATGCGGCAGCCATGTTGGATACTTCAACGGTCTGAGAAAAAGCAAATAGAATACTCATTCGATCATTTCCTACAATAGTATTCTTA